ATGTGCTCACTGGTGACTAGCTTCGTGAGCGAATTCTCGGAGTTCTAGTGAAAAGTCGTGATCAGTGGAGCTAATTCGTGTTAGGTAGAGATAAGTATCTACTTCAAACAACGAAAGATGATCACACAATTTCGTGGATTGGTTGAGGTTAAACATTGACACAGTTGGATGTCGGCTCACTGGTCTAGAGGTTAAGTGTTTGAGCGCCAGATTGACGGTTCTGGTTTTGAATCCTGCGTGTGGGATCGTGAGTGCTTACTGTTGAGGAGTCCAATACTTTGACGAAACCGCCTTCTAGTACTTACAGGTTTTCAATAGTGTTCTAACATTCATCTATTCATGATCCGAATCAGATAATTATAAGCAAAGATGGATGGTGGATAGAAATGGAGTCCAGAACTCGCGTTCCGTCCAACTGATGAGTCTCAAGTAGGACTAAACACATGTCCTAGATTTCACTGCTAGTTACCATCCACCTTTACTTACATGATAAATTTGTTTTAAAATGATGAGAGTTATTTAAACCACTTATTAAAACACTATCATATATTTTTGAGATCATGAATTAATTGATGTTAGACCACCATTGAAAACCTGGAAGCACTGGACGGCCGTTTCGTCCTAGTAGGGGACTCCTCCGTGGCAGTGCGCATCCACGATCCCACTCGCGGGATTCGAACCCAGGGCCTTCAGTCTCACATGCAAACGCTCAACCTACTGAACCACTAAGCCTGCCGGTATCCAATGGTGTTAATGTCTAACCTCAACCAATCCACGAAATTGTGCGACCATCTTCCATTGTATTGAGGTAGACACCTGTTTCTACCCGACACGGATTAGCTCCACGGATCACGGCTTCCCGCCAGAACTACGAGAATTCCCTCACGAAGTTAGTCATTAGTCAGCACATAGTAACTATCAGTATAATGATAATCGGTTCATGATCTCAATCAAAAACTTAACAATCTTCACAACCACTATACTTATAATATCATATATATATCAACACAAAACTCCTGTAATCGATTAACAGTTATGTGTAATGTAGGCAATATATGCAATCACTTTTTGATAAATATTTCTTTCCTACCATTTATATTTGCAAATGTATCAATGCGGGAAAAAAACACTATGAATTGTCAGTTAAAGGTCAACTTTACTATGTGCATATATATGTATCCATGCGCAAATGTATCAGAATATGATTACGTCACAGTGTTTGTACACTTGTCCAAATAGGTCTATGTTAGATAGTTAATAACTTAAGAATGAATAGATGTACATATTGTATATACATATATATTACACCTTCATGTGTATATGTTTGTATGGTAACAATTGAATACAAATAATCAACACTTACATAAAAGAAATTCTTATCAAATCTAAAGAGAAACTTCAAATAATATTCAATCCCAAGTTATTAGTAAATATGCTGATAGGCTAAATCTCTCATTGTATCAAATGAAATATGTACATGATAATGAGAGTAAACGCAGGGTGGATGAAGAATGCTGATGAGAGGCCTGTGCTCCTTCACGAGGTGTAACAGGCGTTAGTAACTAAGTATGTATGTATCACATATAAGATAGTTTTTCTCGTTCAAATCACTATGAACCTCATCACTAGTACTATGGTGTAAATAATAACAATGATAGCCACTAATACATTTACCCTTTTCATTTGGTCTACTAAAGAAACAAATGATTACTAGATGCCATAATAAACTGATGTTGTGTGAATGTCATACCCTTTCAATATATCACGTGGTATCATATGGTATGTAACTACTTACTATCTTACTCTTACACTCCATATACAAACATAAGCTTATAAAGCCATATGTTCCGCAGACATAAGATCAACAATTTATTTGCAGAAATCCTTCTCAAACGATAATAACTGTGTTTGTAACTATAAAATTATGACGAGAATAAAGGACAGTTGAAAATCATTATACCGCACCATCAGTTAATTGACGTTGTAGATGTAAAGTTGGATGCCACCACCCAGTTGTTCTAATAGTTAGGCTTTTACTGCAAAACTCTAAGGTATGGTGTTTGTTGCCTAGTTATATGTTGGATGTGTGTTACTGACAGAGATTCCACAGTAGGATAAATTAGATTTACGATTCTCCATGGTTTCCAATATGATCCCAACTGAAATCAATCTGTGGTGAATTAAACCGGCGAGACTATAGTTCATAGACGACTTTTGAACGAATCTCAAATGATCTTGAGAAATATTAGCCAATCAGGGAACAATTAGTAGAGAGTAAAAATATATTATACAAAACCAAAGAATTAAAGCGGATACACTTCATTTACATGGTTCAAAAATTTGTCAGGGTTAGAAAGAGGTTCAGAGATTCTAAAATCGTAATGCATACGGTAGAAGAACTCGTCCAAAAGGCTCTATAATAGACGGCCACTGAAGCCATGATAAGGTCGCAAAATCTGTTTCGGCCTCGACCACATAGCTTAGATATTGTTTGTGTGCACTTCGGTTGTCGGGTTCACAAAATGCCGCTTGTGAACGACGAAGTAATGCATATAATCAAGTCTATGTAGGCATCTGTACGCTCTCCAACCATTCTTATATATTATAGTACCCGGCTGCAACCAGTGTTACTGGTGCTTTTATTATCCAGTTCTCAATTAGCCTCAGTCTCGATCTGATATGAGCGAAAAAACCTTATTTTAACAGACTTCTTCCTCCAACACATGTTACATCGAAAGAGAACATGATCACAGTATTCTGCACAAGTCATTTGATTACCACAACCACAAATAAAAGAACTTCTTTAGTAGTCTTTTTTATTGTAATCACTTAATTATCTAGTTTTCCCTACAACCCGCTGTGAACCGATCGAACGTGAGCATCAGATACTGAAATTGGTACTGTGAATTTACAATCCGTCAAACGGTTCTGATTGGCTCGTCCATAAATTATAGTCTCGCCCGTCTGAGTTAATCGGTCATATTTACTTTTATTTCAGTAAAAGTTACAGATTCGGCTAGACATTTTATCTTCGATAAAACCATCTGAAGTCTTTCACCTTAATACACAGAAAATCAATAGATGCTCTATGAATTGTACCATTCTAATCTATACTAGTACTATTTGACCACAACACTCTAACTGTATTCATCTCAATGCATGTAATGATGGTAAAAGAGAGGGGATCTTATGTAATTGAACATTTTAAACCGTCTAAAAGTCTTTTTAAAAAATTACTAATGTGTTGATATCTTATTTCTGACTCTCACAAACAGCAGATAACTGACAGATTGAATGGTGAATCGCTCAACGAGTGAACAGGAAAGATTCATGATCAGCATATAGATCTCCAAGTCATGGTAGATCTTCGGGGAGCGAAATTAAGGATTTACCTTGTAGAATATGAATATTATATTCTTCTTATCAGTCACGGATTGCATCAGCTTAGTAGGATGAAATGTATACTATAAATATCCTTATTATTACAAAGTAAAAGGGATTATTCTATTTCAAAACAGATCATTAAAAAATTATTGTTTCTAGTCATATCAGTAAGACTTTTCTTTCATAAAACCAATTAAACGATACGAAAATCCGTGACCAGTGAAGTCTAATGCGTGTTGAATGCTTATCAACCTCAGACAATGGATGAAGGGTTGTGCAGGATCATGAATCGATTGAAATTAAACATTAACGCCATTGGATCCCGGCTCAATAGTCTAGAGGTTGGGCGTTCATAAACGAGGTTGAGATCGTGGATGCGCACCCCTGATGAATTCCACGCTAAAATGAAACAGCTGTCCAGTGATTCCAGGTTTTCAATGGTGATTGCATTATGATGTAATGTTTATATAAAAATTTTATACTCACAGATATCCGTTCTTTCACTAAATAATTGAAAATTATAGTAAGTTACCAAATTCTATCTTGAATAATTTATTCACCTAATGTTGGGTACTTGTTAAAGTGACTGAATGTATGACTAACTAAAAATCGTTGATTATTACATTGTTACATTTCAATTGTATAATATATATGTAACCTCTTATCCAATTCTTTACCAGTTTTTTTAATCAGCGGTATAGTAATAAGATCCTGTCAGTCGAATCAGAACATATCCACTACTTAAAGTGATTCGACTTTACTAGGTACGATATTTAATGTTCTGAATTACTTAATGGTACCATGCTTGACAGTGGCACTCAGTGATGCATCGACTTCGTCAAGGTGAAAGGGCTACTTTACTGCTAGTTTTCAACTAGCACCCAACTAGAATTGTAAGCTTTCTGTGATCAACCGGTTAATTTAATATTCTGAAGTGAATTATCTTTTATATTTGGATCCATGAGTCGATTTAAGCTAAACCACTATGAGAAACCTGGAATCACTGGACAACCGTTTCATCCTAGAATGAGACTTTTCAACAATGTGTATCTACGACCCCGAAAATGAGACTGTGAACAAGGACCTTGAGTCTTGCACCAGAACACTTAACCTGTAGATCACTGAGCCCTCATCCAACAGTGCTAATGTCCAATTTCAAGTTTAATTTCGTGTCCCGCATGCGTGATCTTGGGTGCGCACTGCTAACTAGTTCCACAATAGGACGAAACAGCCATCCAATACTTCTAGGTTTCCCATGGTGGTCTAGCTTAAATCGATTCATGAATCCAACTATTAAATTACTACAATATCCACAAACTCCCATTCTGCTAATACCTTTTATATGTAGATTGTATCTGATGATTTTCAAAAAATATTATAACATTATCAATTACATTTCAATTTCCGCATGATTGAATCACAATCGTTACTTCCATTATATTTCAGGAAGTTATAAATAATTCAGTTATGCTCCAACAAATATTCTATGTATCCTTTTTTTATTCTTCTTTATTATATAACCTTATCTAAGTCACTAATAGGAAAAAGAATATTCAAACAGAATGTAAAGTTATGTTTAGCGTTCTTTTGCTTGTTTGTTTGTTTGTTTTTCTGCATCATATGAAACATCTATTTCTCATTATTTTCACATCATCATCATCAGCAGCATCATCATCAGCATCATCATCATCATCAGCATCATCATCATCAGAAGCATCAGCATCATCATCAGCATCATCATCATCAGAAGCATCAGCATCATCATCATCATCATCGTCATCATCATCTTTGTCATATGATTTAAGACAATAATGATTCATTCAGATAGAAATAACTTGGTTTTACAATTGTAATGTCAAAACTAATAATGACATTACACTTGGTATTATTTACTTGAATCTTCCCATTGATGTTTAGAGCTGTAATTGATCAATCTCTTGTAGGCATATATGTATATTGTGTGTATTGCCTCGATATAGCCTCAATTCAAAAGCATTATAAGTAAAGATGGATAGCTGACGAGTCCCAACTAGGACGAAACGCGCATCCTGGATTCCACTGCTAGCCGTTATCCATCTTTACTAATAATAATAGTTTTTTCTTAATCAACAATCCATTGTACGGATTAAATGACTTTCAATATCTGTTCATACATTTGTCATGAAGTGAAATCCGTTAGAAAATTATTGAAAGTCACTATAACTAGATAAATATCGGTTCGACTATAAATTATGGACGAACCAATCAGATTCATGATAATAGGTCTTAGATTTCAGCGCGAAATTTTTTTATCCATTTGGTTTAATAGCGTCTTGGCATTTTAACTGATTTCAGTTCGTGATAAAAACCCTAGATCTAATACTTATCCATATCCTTCACACAGGTTTAAAACTCTCAGTTAGTCCTAGTCAGTAGGTAAACATTCTCAAAACCTTTTTTAGTGTCACTCAAAGGTCGTTCATAAATTATAGTCTCACCCAGATTTTTCTCATCAGTTGAAAATTTGAAAATTTCCCATAATGTGGTTTAAAACAAGATATATAAGTGAACAATATTGTTTTTGATTAGATCTTCATCAGACTAAGATACAGTGATATTTCTATGCCTATAAGGAATTATTAAGCCAACCAAGTCAGTTTGTGATGCAGTGAAAACAGTGGAATAGATCACATAGATAAACATGTTAAGTAAAGAGTATAAATTGATAGTGTGATAACAGGTTTACTAGTTGTGATAAGAATAATGAAGGCTTGTATTTATGTTTCTAATGGGAATTAGGTCGATGATTAGAAAAATAAAGATATTGAAATAGCATTCATAAACAAAGCTTGTGATTTAAGGCTATATCGAGGCAATCCTCACAGGATCCACATATGCCAACAAGAGATTGATCAATTTCAGTCCTAAATAATAATGGAAAGACAGAAGTAAAACAACATCAAGTCAATTTAAACTTCACTCCATTGCACAACCAGTCCTAGCTATCAGGATTCAGTAGCCAAGTGGATAACGGGATAGAGTTTCAATCATACGGTACTGGATTCGAGCCCCGGAATGAACAACAACTCTGGAATGCAGGTACATTCAACTGACGAGTCCCAAATAGGACGAAGCGACGCGCGTTCAGGATTCCACTGCTAGGCGATATTCATCTTTGATTATAAGATTACGTTTTCGGAAGTGTTCAGATAATTGGACCGTGAAATGTATATTTTAGAAAAGGAAAGGGTAAGAGAGTGTGAAGAAAAATCAATGAAGAAATAGTATGCAAAACTATAATAAACAAAATCACTCATTAAGGCCAAGGGAGAGACAAAGATGTTACGAATTTCTTATGAACATAAAGACTTGGATTGTTAACTCGAATTCCTATAACTTCTGCTATGTGTAAGAGACGAGATTGAACTCCATAAGGAAAATTAGTAGGAATACGATAAATAACTTTAAACGACTTAATTCTATCTACTACATCACTGCTATCGATCAAATGTGATAGGACCGAGCTGTATATTGTTCTGACAGTATATTATCCTAACCACGAAGTGAGTTGTTCACTAACTCTTTGGCTCAGTTGTCTGGCAATGCACTCAATACAACTTTCTCTACAGGAACACACATAGATGTGGCATAACTGAGTAACTTATCCTTTAGTTGAGGATATAATGTGAAACTAATTGACATAGGTGAGTGAATAAGAATAGGTCGGAGGTCATTTGGTGTTAGAATTGAAAAAAAAACACATCAGGGGTGGGTGACGCACTAATTAAGTGAAGTTCAGAGACAGATAATTTTTCGAGGTAATGAAATAACAACAACTGGTAAGATGGGTTGCGTAATCATTGAACAAGATAACAGGTGTACCATGTTAAAGCATCATATTACAGTAACTTAGCTGTTAAATACTTTAACAACAAGTCACATCTCCTGACAACACAATATCTATACACTAATAAACTGTAAATGAAACAAAAGTTTACACTATTAAACAGTTAAAACATAACCCAAGATACATCTATAGTCAATGCCAACATTCCATATACAGTCTACTTCATTTATTGTTTTCAGTAATAAATTATGTTTAGTCTAATGATTTAGTTACTTTTTTTATTATCTAATGGCAATTCGAAAGTAACAAAAATAAAGTGGATTGTTACCAGAAATAATCATAATTCAATTAATTGTGCTTGTTTGTTTGTTTGTCTGAGTGTGTGTGTGTGTGTTGTCAAGACTGCGAAATGAAAAGCTGAATATGTTGAATAATCTATGATCATATGTATTTTCGAACTGTATTACATACAATTGCTTCCGACCTTTTCTTAAATTCGATATGTAGATTTTCTATTCAGACGGTTTATTCAAGTGCTTTTTTGTCCTCTCTCTCTCTCTCTCTCACTTTCTATTTATTCTTGGCAAAGATTATTGTGCAAGGGATAAGTTGTATAGAACATCTAAAATTTACACAAGATATACTGTGGTGTGTGTTACTTATATTGACATAAGTAGTATATGATGTTAGTCGTGAACAGAATGTCTGGTAGCAGAGAGACAAGAGGATCGAACAGTAAAGAATGGAAACAGGATGTAATTTCTATGAAAATGCAAGAACAATGAAGTCTGATTCATTTTGAGACAATTGATGGACATTTTGCAAATTAAGCATTTACTTTATGATTGTTAGACTTTATTAAGAAGCCCTGAAATTTTCTGTCACATGCATTCGATTGTCCCCACTTGTGTTTCGTTCACTACAATACTACTAATTAATGAATAGAGAAGATATGTAGAAGGTAAAATTTCAACCATCACTTAACTGGATACTGAATAATTAAAATTACGGACATATTACAATGAAGAATTAAATCTATTTTTAATCGTCAGTAAGGGATACCAACAATCTAAGGGGAAATAACGCTCTATGTAAGTCATTCACACTATTGAATAAATAACGAGTCGATTGATAGAATTGGATGATCAGTAAAAATATTGGACAAATCTGATATTAAATGGTTGAGTTTATGAGTCAGTTAAAGATAGACTTCTATGGAAATTCTGGAATCACTCGCATGGAAGTCCTCAGCAGTGTGTATCCACGATCCCGCTTGCAAGATTCTAGTCCAAGATCTTCGGTCTCGTGCACATAAACGTTTAAATTGTAGACCACTGAACCTGCATCCAGTGGTGTTACTGTGTAACTTCAACTAATCCACGAAATTGCGCCACCATCCACCATTGTCATCAGTGAGTTGCTATCTCACAACAGACGCAGTTGAACTTCACTGGTCATGGCTTCTCACATGAACTCCAGGAAATACATCTTGAAGTCAGTCACTAGTAAGCACATGATGATTATTACTCTGGATATAGGCATATAAAAGAACTTGGATATTTGTTTATATATTTTGGAAACAGGAGATTGATAAATGATTGAGTCGATCAATTAACAGTTTTATTATTCTGATTACTATAGTTCGGTATTTCCTAATATTGTATACAATAATAAAGAACAAACCATTAGTGCACTAGCTATGCTTAGTTCATGATTACAACTTTCCTCAAACTCAATTTATTTTCACACACACACACACACACACACACACTAGTAACTATTTCTAAGATGGATTCCAACTGACTTAATGAGAATATGTGATCTGTGTAATTAACTATGTTAAGAGTAATGCAGTTATTAAATAATGGTACTGAATATTGATCGATATTTATTGAAGACACAAATAGGAACCACTACGTTATGAATTATTATCTTAATGGATACTGTGCTCAAAATGAGATGTGTAGATCATAACTTAACTCCTATATGTAATTGTGTCAAAAAATGTACTACTTATAAGTTCATAGCAAGATCCAAACACGTCTATTCAGTACCTCATGATTTTCAATCGTTAGCCGGTTATTCTGAGATAATAATTTCAGTTGGAATCATTATTTTTTAGCCGTCCAGTAAGTCAGTTTTACAATATGATTAAATTGAGAAGGAGTAAGTTTTCGATGAGATTAAAATTAACGGTGAGACGGTAATTTACGGATGATCTTGGAGCGACGCTGAAATGACCCTGAAAATGTCTATCAACTAACTAGAACTTAATGAAGGTTATAAATCAATGTGAGGAATTATAATTATGATTTATAGTTGATGATTAGGGTTAAGGACTAGATTTAATGTTTTCATCACGAACTGACATCAGCTATGATGAATGAATTTCGCGCTAAAATCCAAGACCTGCTATCTTAAATCTGACTGTTTCGTTCATAAATTGTAGTCTCAGCAAATTAACTGTTAAAATGTGTAGGTGTTTACAGAACAGTTTAAAAATGCTATATTACACGTCTAGTATGTACTTTCAATGATTGTCCGATTAAAGTCACTCTGTGTTTTAAGGTATTTTTTCATCTAAAGTAATCATTACAAACTTCAGATTTTAATTAAAAGTAAACATTCTTTTTATAATGGGGATCTGTGGAGATTAGAGTAATTTTAATAGTTGAATTCATGAGTTGATTTAAGCTGCACCACCAGTGAAACTCTGGAATCATTGGACAGCCATTTAGTCTTAGTACAGGACTCCTCAGCAATACGCATCCAGAATTTCGCGCGCAGGACTCGAACCTTGGACCTTCGGTCTCCCGCGTGAACGCCTAACCTCTAGACTATTGAGCCGGCATCCAGTGGTGTCAATGTTTAGTTTCAATCGATCCATGATCTTGCACAACCCTTCATCCATTGTCTGAGGTTGATAAGTGTCTCCACTCGACACTGATTAGACTCCACTGGTCACAGCTTCTCACTAGAATTACAGGAAATTAA